ACATTTCAGATATCTGAAATGTAATTCTTACTGGTCCAAATGGCATCACTTGGTCGTTACTTTCAGATATCTGACATGTTTATTCAGACTAGGAAGAAATTAATTTGAGACATCTGGATTCAGGCAAGCAAATAAATGTTATAAGGGCCTGCCATACCTGCCGCTTAGCGCGGAGGCGTCCTCGCGGAATTCAGGATGACCGTTCCAAGATGGCGGCTGTACTTCACGCGCTCCAACAGCCAGTGCTGCGTCCACTCTTCTATCATGTATCTGCGTTAGCATGTCAGGAAGCTAGCTAGCTTAGCTCAGAGCGCGGCTAATGATGATGCACGTGAACCCTACTGCTGCTCCAGGAGAGGAGCGGACTGAGGCCGGTACCGTCCGGACCTCCCGGTCCACTGAGGCTCGCCTTTAGGCGGCTTCCTGTGGAGGCTAACCGGCCGGCCGACAGCAGAAGCTCCGCGGTGAGTAGGATGCTGCATCTCCAGAACCACAACGGTTCCGGTTCTGAAGCTGCACGGATTCACTGCAGAGTTTAATATTTTTATACATGTATTCCAGCCGTTTGTTTTTATTAATAATGATTTACAGAAAAGGAAAACCCAAAATAAGTTGTATTATTATCTGCTCTTGGTACCGGTTCGGACTCTGGCCTGGTTTTGATGGAGGCTCCAGAGTGGTTCTGGTTCTGGTACCGGTCAGATGCACTGATCCCCTCCTCCGGCAGCTGGTTCCGACCCATATGTGGTTCTGGAGGCCGATACCGATACTGAGAGCTTTAAAAACGATATCTGATGATTTATCGACCAGAATAAGAAAACCTGAACATCAACTGTCCAAAAATACTATCTGAGAAAAAAAAAAATAAGCAGAAAATAGAAATATAGAATTAAAAATAATCTCCTTTAATCTGAGCAGAGTGAAGATTAGATTATGAATATAAATGGTTTCTGTGGAGCTGATTAGACGTTTCCTCTAATCTGGGGTGTTTCTAACCTTCTGGTGCCGGAGTCCTGACCAACTTCAACCCTGCAGATGCTGCATCCAGCAGCTGTTCCATCCTCCGCACCCCGCCTGTGAAATCGCTCCATGTGGAGGATTCTGATCTTTAGATTTCACTCCTATAGATGAGCATTAAAGATGGAAACAAGCAGATCTGGAGTTTAATATCTGATTCATTTTTAGACTCTTTCCCAAAAACAGCTCAGAAATGTAAAGTTCCCTCCTCTGAACACAATGAACTGAAACCAGATTTAATGAGCAAATCTGCAGCTTTAAAACATCCAAACAGGATCAGGGGGGGAAACAGAAGTTAAAGGATTTTATGAATGAGTTTAAAGAAAACAGGAACCTCTGAATGGATGAGGTCTGGAACAGCCTGCATGTCAGCATGAAGGCAATCATGGAGTTTATTTCACAAAAAGCTAAAATGCTAATATGTTTGATGAGACTAGCGTGTTTAAA